GTGTGTAGCTCCGAGAACTTGGACAATGGCTATGGAGCCTCACGTCACGACTGCCCTCGCAAGCTTCTCTCACGTGAGGTTGCACCCTGCAGTTTGGGACAGCACGCGTGCAGCAACTTAGCCTAAACTCAGCAAAGCAGCTCATGGTCATCCGAAGAAGATCGCTGCTCATCCGAACCTTCCCACGAACCGTGACAGCAGCAAAATCCGAAATCTGTGTAAGTTGCTTGGTTGCGCTGCCATTCATGCTTGCCGGGCCTTTGAGAAGTCAATTCTGGCACCATCCTGAACCACCTTGCTCTCGATGCGTGATAGGCCAAAAAAGGAGACGAGCATGCACCCCAAACTTCCCACTATCCTCGGAATGAAGAAGCAGGCATCCATCAGAAAGAGCGCCGTGCAGATCTACAAGCAGAAGCGTCGTGCGACTTCACAACATTGTAGAAGTTGCTGACTTTGCTCTGGGACATGTGCTGCCAAGTTGCAGTCCACCTTGGTAAATGGGGTCCACAGCGACCACCGCACCCGTTGCCAGAACACCAAACATCGCTGCGGGCACGATGCAATGGATGGTTAATGGGACCAAAGATTCCTTAGGCAGCGATGGAAAAAAGACTGAACGGTGTAGTGTACGCGCACGAAAAAAGAGGAAATCCTCTGATTTGCCTCTCACAAGAACTGCTTCTGGACATCAATCTGCGCCCGCTTCTCTTTCCGTTAACCAGTGTTAGCATAAACTAATCAGCAAATTCAGGCATGGCCCCTCTGCGCTTGGTGGATGCGGACGACTACAAGCACCGGCATCAATCCAACTGGGGACAAGAAGAACCCCTATGCACAGCCTAGGCTGTTTGATGGAAGATGATGGAAGCAAGGGAGGTGCATGCGTCGCCTTCAGCACGCAGGGTGCTCGAAGCAAGCTATGGATGACAACGGCATACGATGGCAAGGGGTCCCAGGACCTTCCATAGCGGTTGCCTTGAAGACCCCACAACTGAGCGGCTCAAGATTCTTTGGGTGGCAAACTCTTGTCTTGCTGCCACTCCTTTTCACCTGATCCAGCTTTCCGTGAGATGAAAAATGCCTCACCTTGCAGGACTAGCACCCAGCAGCATGCCGTAGCCGTAGCGTGCTGCTTGCTGTGCAACCGAGATCAACAACGGAAGGATCCCGGCCTGAACGCAGCCTTGGGGCAAATTTGCCTGCCAGTGCAGCCTAGTCTCCCCAGAAAATGTTCCGAGGAACGACCTCGGCTCTTGCGCTTTTGACAGTGCGAATGAACTCTCAGGGCCATAAATGAAGCACCGGGACTTGGAACTATACCAGATTGGCCATAAAGCACTGTGCTCTCGTAGCAGCCAAGCTGCACTATCAAGGGCATGCTCACTGCATCGGACAAGTAGTGCACTGCGACCATCAAGGCACCAGAAGCTGGGACAAAGTGCAACAGCGGTGCCACCAAATCCTCACTGCGTGACACGGACGTTTTGGGTGGTTCTCATGTTGGGGATCCGCCACTTGGCCGGGCATGGAGGAAAGCATGGTCGCTCCTCTTGCAGCTAGCCAAATCACTGGAAGACACGGAAAGCAAATGAACATGTCTTCAGCATCAAAAGCCATTCTGCCGCCGACGGACTGGATGCACAACTATGAACTCGCGCACAGTGCCAATCCTCATTTCACACGATTCCATATCTTGATGGAGCATTAAGTCACCAAGCCTGTTGGATGGCCCCCCCTTGCTATGACCGTATGCAAAGCGCAAAGGCCCAAAACACCACCTGTCTATGCAAGGCACGCAAGAGAGGCAGCGGCCAGCTCCATGGGTGTTCGTGACTGCTGCTCTGGCCGGCGCATGGCCATGCCTCGGCTGAAGCAAAAGCGAAAAGCTGAAGCCGTGACAGGCTTCAACGGGAAGAAGGGGGAACAGGAGCTTCATGCTGCCCGGGGCGCCGAGACAGAATCCTCCCAACACGACTCCGGCCGCTCCGTGAAAGCACCTGGCGTGCTTTGCTTTCAAGAGGCAGAAGTTAACTTTATTGAACCCCGGCAAGGCAAAGCGCAGCAAAGGCGCGCCGATCCCAAGGAGACCTGAACAAGCCGATCTGTAAAGCACTGTAAAGCAGGGTGGCTCACCAAAAGCATATGTGAGCTGACGGCACTGATTCGTGTCCAGGACAACTTGGGCCAGGGCTACTGAAGACAGAGCCAGTCCAGGAGCGACCATAAGCGGATCAGAGACCGAGGCAGTCTTAGCTGACTGATCTAAGCCCTTGCGTAGGAAACTCTGGGGCATTCAGCAGCACCCAGTAGCAGTAGCGATAAATATGCCAATCACCACCTTCACTCACAGTAGAGACTTCTTAGTTACGGCAGGACCCCTGCGCCAGGCATCCTCTTACTTCCTACTGCAGACCTATTCTCGCCGTGACAATAATCCCTTCCCGTATGTTAGAGATGGGCAGATGTCCCTCTGCTGGGTGTTAGGAATCATGTTGCGCCAAGCTGCCGCGATGCTCGCGCAGCTTGCCAAGAACATCGTTATAAGATCGTCATCGCTCAGTCTCTGCTGCTGGCATTGTTTCCGCCAGAATCCGGTCCACTCGGACCACATCCAATCTATCCACTCCAGAAATCTCTTTTGCAAATCCGTATCATATGGGCGCTGAATTTGCCGGGAAGTTCCAAGAGGCAAAGCAACGCAACTATCGATAGCACACTCCGGTTTCGGTTCTTCCTTGTATGCACTCTCGCTGAGTGCAAGCCGTGGCTCAGTCCGCAGCACACCAATGCTGTCCACTGCGTCCAAGACATCAGAACCAATGACTAAGAAGGGAGCCAAAGGCCTACGCATGACTGGCCACACGTAGTCCAAGATGTGCTGGGCTCTGTCTGGAAGCAGATCATTGGGGTCTGCTGCGGCCATGCTGCGAACTTTGCGCAAACTTTGGGCCGGCCCACAGAGGTCAATGCGTTCACTGGGAAAGTCTTGCTTGATTTTCAAGTAGCTGGCATCTGTGGTTAGGCTTGGTCGGGAAGTGAATCCTGTCACTGCCAAGCTTGATCTGAGACGGCCATGTCATTTGGCAAGCTGTGTCTCAAGCTCAGGCATATTGAACCATAGCGCCAGGTTCCAAGGTTAAGGTCAGCTTACCCCTGCATGTATCCAGCATCGCCTGGCGTGATCACCCCTTATACGGGAGAATTCCAACAATTAGGCTTTTCCATTATCCCTCTATAACCCCAGTATACTACAGTAGTTGCAATTTTCTTTTCCAGTATGCGAATATAACCCCAATATACTATAGTAGTTTCCATTTTCTTTTCTATTATCCCTATATCTGTCTTAGGGGAGAGAAAGGGCATAGCCCCCCTTAAGTAGATAGAATATGGCTTTGGATATACCAAAAATAGATCCCCATATACCCCATATTCTATCTACTTAAGGGGGACTATAAAACCTAAACCCTAAATCGTAGTTTCCATTTTCTTTTCCATTATCCCCAATATAACCCCATTATGACCCTATTATAACCCCAATATTACCCCATATTCTACTTAAGGGGGGCTATATATCCAAGGCCGCCACAGAGGCCCAACATCAAAGTTGTCCTTCTCTTCCACCTTGGCCTCGTCCGCCATGGCCTCGGCTTAGGGCTTTGGAACTGGTCGATTATGAAATCCCTCGGTGCTATCTACAATAAGGTTGTCGTGGGGTTATATAGGGATCACGGAGAAGAAAATGGAGACTACTATAATGTACTGGGGATTATGAAGCCCTCGTGCTATCTACAATACGCTTGTCGTGGGGTTATATAGGGATCATGAAGAAGAAAATGGAGACTACCGGGGTTCTATAGGGAAAATGGGAAAGAAAATGGAAACTACCATAGTAATTGGGGCTCTATAGGGATAATGGAAAAGAAAATGGAAACTACTATAGTATATTGGGGTTATACAGGGATAATGGAAAAGAAAATGGAAACTACTATAGTACCTGCTCAGAACTTGGGCTTCGTGTAGACCTAAACCCTAAACCCTAAACCCTAAACCTTAAACCCTAAACCCTAAACCCTTAAAGACCAGATGAACACATCCAAGTGCAGGGCTACCTGGAAATTGGCCCTGTGCGTCAGCGATGGCCCACTCTTCAGCTTGAGCAAAACAAATGATAGGGTTCAGGGCTTAAGGGTTCACGGGTTTAGGATCTAGGTTCCCCCGTAACCCCTTAATAAGGGTATCCTTTCCTAATATTCAGCTTTAATCAGGAGACCCCCCAAATAAAAAGGGAAAAAGGGTACTACTTGGGTACTGCCCCCACCCAGTAACAGTCTATGTTAGGGGTCCTATTAAGGGCCATATTATATAACCATATCATAACTACGATCCAACTGTGACTGAGGGGGGCAGTACCCAAGGTACTACTCGGGTACCCAGGTGTTCACTTTGACACTTCAAGGCCTCGCATACAAGACCCTCCCATCAAGCCCACTCAGAGTTTGGCTCCTGAATGAGGCCTGTTTCATGAGGGATAATGGTAAAGAAAATGGAAACTACTGTAGTAGGGAGAATGGAACAGAAAATGGAAACTACTATAGTAGGGAGAATGGAACAGAAAATGGAGACTACTATAGTAGGGAGAATGGAACAGAAAATGGAGACTACTATAGTAGGGATAATGGAAAAGAAAATGGAGACTACTGTAGTATATTGGGGTTACATACGGATAATGGAAAAGAAACTGGAAACCCTAAACTCTAAACCCTAGTGGAAACTACTACAGGCTCATTGTTTGCCGTGGACGGTCTCCTCGCTTCTCAAGTCTTAAGAATGCTCATGACTCTTGGTAGTTTCCCTAAATAGGGGAACCCCAACAGAGAACCCCAAATACCATAGACCTTACCATTGGGACCTCGAAAAGGTACCCCAAATCTTGGGAAACCCCGTGTTTTCTCGCGCAAACAGGGTGTGAAACAGGCAGGTCCGGCCATATCACAGCATCAGATGCTGCCTCGCAGAATGTCGCATTACCAAAAGCATCTTCTGCATGGAACTGATCATGAAGGAATTGAATCTATCCGCCAGGCCGTGTCCAGTCTACAAAGACACCACCACAAGGGACACAAGTAAGCTGCTGTGCCAAGAACCTGTTGCTATCAAGTGGCTTGGGTAAAGCATCACTCGGCAAGGGGCGCCGAATGCCTGGCAGTCACGAGGAAAAAGATAGCCTAAAAACAGGTCACAGGCTGATCAGCTACCTGTAAGCTTGCAACATTTCATCTCTCCACCACTCCATGTTGCATGTTAATGAGAAAAAATGGTAGTTTCCCTAAATAGGGGGACCTAAATATAGACCCCAAAATACTATAATCCTTGTGATAAGGTACCCCTAATTTGGGACACCACCAAAAACTGGTCTCGCTTGCAGATCGGCCAGTGCACCTCCTCAGGACTATGGCCCCAGCCTTCGGAGGAATGTTTTTGACAAACTTGGCCCGAACGACTCCCGAGTTGCCGTGGGAGCGGCGGATCTGCCAGAAGAGGAGGCTTCTGTACGGTAGTTCTGCACTTTTCGTAGGAAGGTTCTCTCCGGGCTTCAAAGTTGATGGAGGGGGGCAAGAATTCTACGTAGCATTTGAACAATCAGCTGCCCAGGGCATCAGGGGGCACCTTGCCCCACATCACCCGGAACTTGCTGTGCTTCACCTCCTTCTTGACCTTGCATTTCAAGAGGGCAGGTTCTGTACATCAGCAGACGTGACATCCCAGCAGTGCAAGGGCTGTTCAACATAAGGACGGCTTGCTGCACTACGATTGATGAAGCGTTCAGTCGCAATAGCACAAGGCAGTCCGTAGTTTGTTTGACATGATCCCAGTTCGGCCTTGTACACATACGCCACGCGCTTGCCAATGTAGAACTGCGTGTCATCCTGCCGGATGACCCCTTGAGTGCAGACTGCTCGAAGCAACGAATCCGTTTCCAGAAAAGGGCGCATTGAGGTCTGGCCTTGGTTCGCACGCCATCGATCTTGAGGAGGGTGCAGTTGGCGTAGCAATTGGACTTGCTGCGCTTGTAACCTGAGAACTTTGCAGCATCCGAATAACATGGCCACATGTTGGGGCTTAAAAATTGCGCTTGGTGCTTGCGTTTGCGGCCCCCCCTTCATACTCCAAATGCCCACGTTCCTTGGTTGAACGACCCCTTTGCGACATCCAGAAGCCTGCAACACCTGCGCATTGCATCGCCACAACCCTTATGCTACTCCCTTGCTTCTGCAGCCGAAAGAACCCAGAATCAACCCTTTGGCATACAGCCGCACTGGCTGCTTCGTCTTCTTGACGAACTTTTTGGCCTCTCCAGCAAGTTCATCAGGAAGTGCGATTGCGGGCTATTCATAGTTCACAGTCATAGTGCGTCTGCAACGCTCTTGGCACGCCAGAATTTAGCTTAGAATGGATAGCCAGCAGAGCTTGGGCAGAGCGCGAGAGCAAAACAAAATGCTAGCGCTAGACAAACATGCGGAAGCCCGCATTGATCCCGCAATCACAGGCGCATAGCAAAAGCAACCCTGAAAACTGTGTGTAACTCATCGACTCAGGCAACACCTTTAACTTGCACAGTAGGCCAGTCCCAGAAGCTCATCATCAATGCTGTAGCTGCTGCTACCATTTGCCTGCAAACGATTTCTGTGAACCTCATGCCGAGCCATTCTTCTTCGCTGCAATTCCATCTGAGCTATAGTCTAAACTCCTAGTATACCCCTTAATAACCCCTACAATACTCCCCTAGATAATCCCCCATATAACCCCTTTTCAGGAGTGTAGAATATGGCTCATATGGGTGGTTGTCAAAATTATGGTCCCTTTTTGGATCCCTACTACAGTACGGCACCTAATATTTAAGGTACCCAAAAAGGGACCATAATTTTGACAACCATCCATAGAACCCATGATAGTAGTTTCCATTTTCTTTTCCATTATCCCCCATATAACCCCAATATAACCCTAATATTCCCCTAATGGGTACCATAATTTTGACAACCACCCATATGGTTGATTGCTTGCTGCTCAAACTCATATCAAGCCCTAATCCTTATAAACTAACCCTTAATCCCCGTTTCCATTTCATTTTCCCCCATGTTCTTTTCCATTTGATTCTCCATTATTGGGGTATATATATATATATAGATTGCTTGCTGCTCAAGCTCCCTTCCACAGGCTCGCCTTTCGCTCCGGCTTGGCCTCGCCTGTGGCAGGATTCGCAATGTCAACAGCAGCAACACAGGGATTGAGGGCCATAGGGGGTATATAGGAAAATATATAGGGGTTACATAGTGGGAAAATGGAAAGGATAATGGAAACACTATTTAGTGTTTCGGGTTTAGGGTTTAGGGTTTAGGGTGATGAGGAAAGCGACGCTGAAACAATCAAGCGAAATGGTGATACAGCAATATCCGCTACTGGACTTGCAACTACCCACCCTGAGCATCAAACAAAAACTTTTGCAACAATGAGGGAAGGATGCGGAAAAGCTTCTGAACAACAATTGATACCCTCAACCCACGGAATAGCTTGCAGGAATACATGTGCATCTGCGGAAGGTTGCTGCATTTGACCCAGTAACGATGAAACGAACCACGCAGCTACGTACTCAGCTACTGCTATTATTTCCACTGCCGAAAGTCACTTCTTCTACTACCATAGCTGCCGAGCTGTTGCTAGTGGCGCCTCTGAAAACGCTACTGCTCAACTCCCGGATCATGAACAGTTGTCAAGTGTGCCTGCCATGGCTTCCACTTCCTGCTCGTCGGCGAGCTACACGTATCCGCTGCAGAGAGAAATAGAGCCAGAATGGCCAAAGAGCAAAACCAAGCCTGAGGATCTTGGTGCCCACATGTGGCAAGCAGGGTTGCAATCTTGTCACTTGGCTGTGCTTGATGATTTCGGGCTGCCAGCCAGCAAGCTTCTGGAGCCCCAGTGCTGAGTCAGGACGCCCAAAAGTTTCTTTATGAAATCTATCGGCCTACTGGCTTTCCGTTGCATCCCTGACAGTTTCCTAGCGTTGTGCAAGTGGTGGCCGCAAAGCATTTAAGGATGGGCCTCAAAACCCAAGGAATCTGCCAAACTAGTTTTTCGGGAGCTTGCATTCCTTTGGTGTTGCCTATTCAAAGCCCTGTCGCAAAGGCCAAGTTCTCTCAGTGGGGAATACGGAGGGCTCGGCTCACTCTTCTCTGATCTTCCCTGCATTTAACTTGGGGTGCCTAAGCCATCCACTCCTTGTATCTCGACATTTTGCTTGCACCACTGCTACTTAGCTCCAATGCGTGTTGGTACAAATATCACGCCTGCCATGTTCGAGCTCAATGACGTCCACGGTTTGTTCGTTTTTGGCGGTCAGCACCAAAGCGCGCCCTACGGGAAACAGAGACCGGCGCCCGTGGCGTCTGTCATCCATATGTGTTTGTTGGTGTTTCACCACGTGCTCAAATATCAATGCTGCCGCTGCTGCTACTGCTGCTACTCCTACTCCTACTATTACGACGACGACGACGACTACTACGACGACTACTACTACTCCTACTCCTACTAGTAATAGAAACAACACTAGGAGTAAGACCAGCAAGAATAACAAGAACAGTTTAGGCCACGTCCATCACAGCAGCTCTTCACAAAGCTGGCGCGTTTTGCTCTTTGCAGCAACAGCCAGGACGTTGCTCAATCCATGAATGGCGTCTCCTGTCAAACTGCCCAAAGACGTGGTCAAAGGGGTCTGCTTCATGCCGTAGACAATGTCTTTGTTGCAAGCATCTGCAACGGCAAGTTGAAGGCATGCTATTGGGGATCCCGACCCCACAAGAGTGCCTGGTCGCACATGGCGTGGACCTTCTCGATTTGTCTCTCACCTGGATGTTCGAAGGGTTCTCTTGGGGCGATCCAGTGCAACCCGATGTCGCTCCTTTGTGGAAACATCATCATAGTAACATGACGTCAACAGCGTCTACGCGATTTTGCGGTGTTCCTGCTTGGCGACTTGGTCAGTGGTGCGATTGCCGTTTGCAACCCCGAAAGGAGCTTGTCACAACCATCCCCAGGTCTAGGATCCAGGCTAAACTGTGCTGAGTTTTCTTGAGTATTTTCCCGGAGGTGCGGGGACATGAAACTTTATCAACACTTCCCAACCCGGAACAGGCGCGACCACACTTGATTCACTTGATTACAAGCACTCTTTCCTTGCAGAAAATTACTCTGGAAGAGCCGCTGGATTGCACGGCAGCAAGTTCAAGCATTATTTGTTTCCAGAATAGCCCCATTTTTGACAACAAGTGTTTAGATGCCAAACATTGGTTTAAACGTAGATGAAGCCACACAGGGCACCAACAACCTCCCACCAGCCCAGCCATATTCTTACTGGAAAATGTTTTTGAACAATGCGGAGGTCTGCCATAGTAGGCCCAGGAACAGTAGAGGTCCGGAGGCACACGGCTGCTCGCCGTCCCATTGCCACAGGTAATGACCTCCATACCGACGTACTGCATCTTTGGGTACCTGCTGCAGGCGAAAGCATGAGCAGCAGCTGGTCCTGTCCTGAAGATAATCTGTTGTGCCTGGTCATGTCATTTGTCTGGTCACAGCCAAGTGACGCGCTGAAAGGCACAAGCATGTCTATCAGGCCCATCGTGTACCTTGCCATCAGTCGCGAGTGGCTGATGAAGCGCACCATGGGGAGGGCACGCGCACCATCGGCAGGACAAATCTCAATGAAGTCACATCACGTCAGGCTGCAGACACAGGTAGACAGCTGTTTCACAGGGCCGTGCACGAGGTACGCCATGATAGCACGGAGACGACATGAAAACCGAAATTGTGAAGTGAAAGGACAAAACAAGTTGCTGAGCGAGCTATGCGGTCAGGCTGCACCATGGACCCGTCGCTCCTCATCAGGGTGCCGTCGCTCGGCAGCCAGTTCGTCGGAGCTGAGAAGTGAGCGCATCTCAAGTCGGAGGACTCCAGCGCTGAGCATTGTCCTTGGCAAGCTGGACTCCAGACCTTGAACCTGCAATGACAGCATGGTCATGCTTTAAAAGCTGCAATGCACGGGACCAGCTTCGGCCTCCGGTTTCACTTAGCACCTTGCGCTGCCAAATCATGCCACCAGACTGAGGACTATCGGAGCGGATGCGAACCTGGCACACCGAGGGCATCAAGTCTCTTTCTGCTGCTGGGGCTCAAGAGGCAGAAAAACCCTTTTCTTCTGTCGGAGTCGGAAGGGGGTCATAGCTTTCAGGAGCCTCAGGGTTGCGTCCATTCACGTCTGCTCTGCCAGCTCCAGGATATGTCGAGGACCTGGTGCGCGTTCGGGATTTTCCCTGGAGAGTCAGCTACAATCTGGACTCGCACCCTGCCTGCCATCAGCCGCCGGTTCCCTCCCGCCGCGCAGGCTTCGCCAGGTCAAATTTTTTGAGGCCAGGGCACGGAGAGAGAACTTCTGCTGCCGCTTTATCTCCTGCAGCCTCACCTTGGCAGTGCGAGCACGAGACATGCATGTTCGTCCCATCCTCCTCTGGCTTTGCGCTGCTGGATGGAGTAGTGAAGAATAGTGAATAGCTGTGGCTGTGATCCAAGGTTGTGCCAGAGTCGCGGCGCACTCTTGGCGTCTTTGCTCCAAGGCTCCATTTGTTCGGTCATGAATCCTTAAGACACAGGTGAACCTTCTAGTGAAAGCCTCAGCCGTGTCTTGACAGAAGCATCTCACTGCTTCTGAAACGTCGCACATGCATGGTCGCCATGGCTTGGCATTCTATTGGCCAGCCATAAAAGACTACAGCAGTGCATCCATGCAGCTGCAGAAGCAGAGAGAAGTCCATGATCCGAAACTCCTTCCAGGTTGGGGGGGCTGTCTGCGGTTTCAAATACACATTTACAGCGAGTCGAAGCCACTACAGGCAAGAAGGTGAATTGCAAGGCTATTCAACAAACGGCTTCGGCTGAATAAATATCAGAGGCTACGGCCCAAGCTCCTGGAGCAACTCGACATCAGCTTGATGGACATCTGCTACCTGCGCTTCAGTTTGCGAGTGGGAGAGCGACAACGGGCACTCTCGCAGCAGAAAAGTTTCAGCGTGGAACATCATCATGAATCAGCATGTCATGAACCCCATAAAATGCCCGCAATCCTAGCCAAAATACCTCAGCGGCAATCGCTCGTGGCAGGTGCAGGGATTCGCCCATCTCCTGGAAGCAGGGACGCACCATGACTAAGTGGCATATGTAGCTATGCAGGCCTCAAAACCCATCTTTGGGACGACTCAACATCTTCTCCGATCAGAAGTCGCTGAGTCATACTGATTCCAAC